AATTTCTTTCTGGCTTGAACAGCATTTTTACCCTTTCTGTAGTAAAACAGTAAGATATGTCGAAAATGCTGCTTATCGCTCTCCATATTTAAAAGGGCACCAACCAAAAACTACTGCGTAGAATTAATTGGAATTAGAGTGTAGGTACTGTGCATTACTCTTTGGGTAACCGTCGTATTTAACATATTTACAATATTTTAATCATCTACTACCTGTTAGGTTTGTTCCACAAAGCAATACTTCAAAGTGGCACAGCCTTAAATGTATGGGCCAGAGGGGATTCTCACAGTGAATTAATCGGAAAATATTTGGGAATGGAAGATGCTAATGATACCGAAATTGTAAAGGAACTCTATAAAAAAACTACGGACGAATTATTTCAATTACAGGAAGATATCATTTCAGTGAGAATAATAGAAAAATTTTTTATTAGTGTATAATATTTTGGAATTTTTTTCAGAAAAATAAATTAATGTACAATCGACCGTGGGTTCCAGTGATAGAGCCACCATCTCCAGATGCATTAATATCAGAATCACCCTTGAAAATTATTAAGTCAGGAAATTATAACAAAGTTCCACTTATAATTGGTTATTCCAACAGAGAAGGAATATTTTTACGAATAATTAATTTAATGCAACAAATCAAATCTATGAAAGTAAAATTTGAAGAACAAGTCTGTAATCATTTTACACTAACACTACATGACAACGATTGTAAAGATGTTGCCAAAGAACTGCAAAATTTTTATATTGGAGATGAAGAATCATCTGATGAAAACTTGGATAAAATTTTTACGGTATGTTGGTTGATAAGAATAAAAGATATTTTTGCGGAATGTACCTACGTAATATACGGGGTGTCCCATCGGACGTCGACTTAAGTACATAACTATTCTTAGTAGTAGCATAGATAGAGGGTCGGTTAAATAGGGAGAGTTGTTCGGAAATGTATGTTAACAGCATATGTCACATGAAAACTACCTACTTTAATACTGAAAAGTTACCAAGCAAAAGCCGAAAATGTCAATTTCGAAATTATGCTCTAACTGGAAAATACCACAAATGGCGCGGTAAACGCCACTTGTAGTAAAATGCTACATTTTAGGATTATGTATGCTCCAACAAGGTCCATTTAAATATATGGATATCTACTTGTTGCCAGGTAAAAGTTGGTCTGTGTTCTGTCGGAGGTGTCTGCGACGCGCTGATGAGATCCAAAAAGATCGAAATCGCGATCCGCGTCAGGCAGTTTCGGCAGAATACATACCACTTCTAATTATTTTATATGCTCTAACTGTATCGTTTTTAGATTTTTCAAACGCTTTTTAACATAATTTTCTTACTTCTTTGTGCGCTTTTGAATGGTGTAGTTTTTATTATTACCTATTTGTTAAAGTGAAACTTTTATTACATCGCCTCAAATGTATTCGTCCATCTATCGTATTACAGCCGACCGTGGAGTAGGTGTAAAACTGAAAGACGCTCGGCAGAGCAGTCAAGGCCAATATGGCGGGCTCATAGCTCACATGAGCTAACCGTGTAGCATTTATATTCTCACTCATTCGTGCAAGTGCATGACAATTAAATTTTTAGACTGTGAAACTCAAAGCGAAGATTATTGATAGAATAACTGAAGTTGAAAATGATTCAATGATTTAAATAAATATTGTTCTCAGTTTTTAACATGCGTCTATCATCTGAATGATTGTATTTATTATGTATTCCGTACTCTCATATGCAGATTGAAATTACAATTTATAGTTGGATATCTTGTCTACTATGGATTTCCCATAATCATTCCCATTTTTCAATCATTAAGATAAGATTAAGAATGCGATATTAATTTTAGTACCCTAAATCGAATAATTTTCGGAAAATTTACAGTTAAATGCCTACAATCCGAAAAGTTTCACTTGCATCGTGGTTTCATAAAACCACACAATTGTTTTTTTTTTATATTTTTTCTTCTGTTTATTATTCTTATCATATACTTTCCGAGAAGCATAGCGACCTCTGAGGAATTTAATACATCACTTTACATTGGAACACCTAGCGAATTGTAAGATTCATTAAAACCTAAAGCGATTTTAAAACGACTCAAAAAAAACCGAAGGGCTGTGAGTCATTGACTATTTAATATATATCCCAAATTACATTGCTGGAACATGACAAAAATATAAATCGTGAATATGTTACATAAGCACATACATCAATTAATTTCATTTTCCTTTTGGTGACGGCAAAACATTGTGCAGTCCAGTGCACTTTCTCAATTAAATTGACCTTCTATCTCTACTATCATAATAAGGAGGAGTTATGGTCCATAACTACTTCTTCTGAAGGCAAGATTTATTTATACATTGCGGATTTATTCCAAATAGCGAGGGTTTATCGAGAATTATGAGGATTTATTGAAATTGTCGTAGAATTACAAAGGATTTATTTCTATGTGGTGGAGAATTACCAACTGTGCATTTTCCATGCATGCGCCTTACGTTCAGAAATAACTAAAAGTAAACTTAAGTAAGATTTATTGTGAAAAATATATATCAGTTTAATACACTAATCGGAATAATTTTTACAGTACAATAATATGTAGACTAAATTGGGCCGAATCTATTGCGTGGTTAATAGAGTAACAGTTACTACAACTTATAACAACACTATTGGAAAGTTTTTGAATCAATCGATTTTATTTTAATCGAATACCTTTTGCTTAGATTTTAGAGGACGCACCAAAATCATAACCTGTACGCTAAGTACCTGTAGGTACCAACAAAGTATTTTAATATTTTTTTCGCAGTTATATCCGATTTCCTAAAACGGCTATCCGGAAAGCGCAACTATTATTATTATAAGAACAAAGGCTTTCACGGCCGGAATCCATAGTAGAATGAAGATTCGGGCTATAGGGCCGTAGTCTAAGTGAACTATTCTATCCAGACGTTTCGTCATCTACTGCGGCTGACATTCTTAGTGGTAGTGCTGCGTTGACAACGTGGACGTAGATTATATCTCGAAGTCTCGATACCCAGTCGATGTCGATGTTGAATTCAGGGGGTAGCCCGGGGGTGTTGTTTTCTTTTCACCTTCACATTTTTGTAGGTTATAGAGGTTATTTCCGTGAAAAGGATTTACATTTAAAAAAATTATATGCATGTTTTTTAAAGCGCATTTTTCACAGAATCAAGGTAATTAACTTTCATTTAGTAGAGAACAATTCGATCAATTTTTTAACGACAGCTATGTTAACCCATAACCGCTGGGACATCACCAGGCATATATTTAATATTTCTTTATTTTTTATTTTGTAATTATTTGTTGTAGATGCATACGGATATTATGTTCTTAAGGGGAATACACCAATCACTTAAATATCACATGGAAACTAATCTCAGTCCTATTTATTTATATAGATTTTCATTTGATGGAAGACTTAACTTTCTTAAAAATTTGGTTTTCAAATTAAAAGATGCCGGTGGGTGTTTCTTTTCCTATATTTTCTGTTAGATATTAAATGACGTTTCAGAAATATAATATAAATAGATCGACAGAACAAACTCCGTTAAACATTTCATGGAAACCTTCATTAGTAATCCACGAAAAATTAGGATCCAACAAAAGATGTTGCGAGCTTCTCTGCGACATAGGGTGTTTTTGAAACAAGTAGCAAACTTGCAGGTGGTGATATGGCACTATGAAACAAGAAAATTATTTAATGTGTAGTGATCCGAAAGTTAATCAGTTTCTAAAAAAACGTATTTGAAAGTACAGGCAAGAATCAGAAGAATTGGTAAAATAAGGCAGTGAAACACGACAATGCAACGTCGCATTCAATCAGTTACTAATTAGCAGCTCCTGTGCGGAATTTTTTTTGTATTTTTGCACTTATGCATTCTTGTTTTTTTTTTAGATTGGATTAAGTGTGATTGAGGATTCTTATGTTACAGCTAGCGCAGGGTGGTTATTTGTTCTTTTAAAGTTGTAGGCCTGTATGTGTGTAGTCTGTCGAAGTCATTGGCAGTAATTCAGTGTGTCACTGTCATGGGTCAGTGCATTGATCAATGCGTGAGTTTTAAGACGAACCGTTTTCCAGACGCTGGATTGGACGTAATATAAATCGCATTGTGATATTAGTTGGTTTATTAATTCGATCTTTTTTTTGTGATATTTTAGGCTTTACAGCTTTGATTTTGATGTAAAAACTGAGGTAAATCCCTGCCTAACAAGTATATAATTTAACTGATATCTCCCTAAATCATCTGACATCTTCCACGTATAACTTCTTCGAATGTGATGGTTGAATAAAGTATTCGTAACGGTTACGTTGTGTATATCGCAAAATTGCATCAGCCTACCTCCCCTACTATTTTTGTTACTTAATCCAAAAGACCCTGCTATTGCACCCTCTTTATCTTCACCTACTAATGAGTTGGTCTTCTATAACGAAGAAGTTATTTAATTAGTTTTTATCGTAATGGGTGTCTAAGCATTACTATGTATGTGTAGTAGCGTAGCTGTTGGTATTTACTTTATTAGTCGTTCCACAACCGGCACTGTTTAGCATTCTCCTTCAATGTAGCTGCTTAGTTGCTATCGGAATTTCTCTATGCGTTGCAAATTCACGCCCAGAACCGGCTTCGCATTGTAACTTCATCCAGTTTCTTTACAATTTTTTTTGTCTCTTAATTTCGCGGCTTTACTCACCGTACGATTTCCTATTACATCTGCTTAACACCCTCCAATGTTTGCTACTTATTTAAGAAACACCTTATAAAGTGTATGAAATTCATGGATTTGACTGCGAGCAATCAGTTACAGATGCAGTTACAGATACAACATCACTAAAACTAAACTTTTGAAAAAAACAGTTGGTTCGAAATTTTTTTAATATAGGACAAACTGTTCACGAACTATAACGTGCTATAATTCTACATATTACTATAGGGTTGTTTGGAAAGTCATTTCGTTTTTTCCCGACAGAGGATTTAATTGTATTCTTTTGCACCCAACTTCACATTTAAGCCGTATAATTTTGATATGCTTTGAGAGCTCATATAGCAAGGCTTGTGTTTCCAATTAATTCTACGCAGTAGTTTTTGGTTGGTGCCCTTTTAAATATGGAGAGCGATAAGCAGCATTTTCGACATATCTTACTGTTTTACTACAGAAAGGGTAAAAATGCTGTTTAAGCCAGAAAGAAATTGACTGATGTGTATGGAGAAGGTGTGTTGACAGTACGCCAGTGCCAGAACTGGTTCGCTAAATTTTGATCCGGCAATTTTGATGTCGAAGATGCAACACGTTCGGGAAGGCCGGTTGAAGCTGATAAAGACGCGATAAAGGCATTAGTTGATGTGAACCGGCGAATAACAACACGTGAGATTGGATTGAGGTTAAATTTATCAAATTCAACAGTTTATGACCACTTGAAAGGCCTGAGATTATCCTCGAAGCTCGATGTATGGGTTCCCCATGTTCTCACAGAGAGAAATCTGTGTCGCCGCATTGACGTCTGCGATTCGCTTCTCAAACGTCACGAAAATGATCCGTTTTTGAAGCGCATCATCACTGGGGACGAAAAATGTGTTGTATACAATAACGTCAAACCTCTTGTCATGGAGCAAAAAAGATGAACCGGCTCAAACCATTTCCAAAGCCGATATTCACCAAAAAAGGGTGATGCTGTCCGTTTGATGGGATTTTAAAGGAATCATTTTTTTTGAGCTTTTACCGGATAACACAACGATTAATTCGGAAGTCTACTGTCATCAACTGGACAAACTGAATGATGCACTTCAACAGAAAAGGTCAGAACTAATCAATAGGAAAGGTGTAGTGTTTCACCAAGACAACGCGAGACCTCACACAAGTTTGGTCAGTCGCCAAAAGCTTTTACAGCTTGAATGGGATACAATGCTACACCCACCATATTCTCCAGACCTGGCACCATCGGATTATTATTTGTTCCGGTCACTCCAAAATTTTTTAGACGGTAAAACCTTCACCTCAAATGAGGAGGTCAAAAACCTCCTGGATCAGTTTTTTGCCAGCAAAGACCAAAAATTTTATGAACGTGGAATTATGCTACTACCAGAAAGATGGCAAAAGGTGTTGGACCAGAACGGTCAATATATAATTTAATAAAATATTTGTTTATTATACGAAAACTGTCTTTCATTTCCACAAAAAAAAACGAAATGACTTTCCGAACAACCCTATATTATAATTGCTGATGGAGTACAAAAAAAAAACATTATGATTATAACTGGCCTAGCGAGTTATGTCGATGATCAATGAGTTGCAGTGTTTTTCTAATTTAAATAATACTTTACGTTCACTTTTTTTCCGAAGGTATGAGAGATTTTTGTCTTTCAAATAAATATTGGCAAATAATAATTAAATGTACGCATTTTCACGTTCATACAATAAATAATGTGTTAAATGCAGTTATAAAATTCCTAATTCTTTTATTTGCAATATTAGGGGTTAAAATCGTCGCAGAACGATTTTTTTAAATAATGTAATTACCAACAGGTGCGTGCCACGGTGATGATTTGGGATATATTTTCAAAACGGAATGGACACCTGAGATAATACCAAACAGTTCTGAAGATATTATTCGAAAAAGTATAATTAGACTTTGGACAAACTTCTCAAAATATGGAGATCCAAACGGAAATAAAAAAAACGGTTTGATTAAAGTAACATGGAAACCTGTGGACAATGAACAACTGCATTATCTAGAAATTGGTGAAAACTTAACTGTTGGCATAGATCCTGATCAAACGAGAATGGATTTTTTCGATAAAATTGAACAAAAATTCAAACCAAGATATGCATCTGATTGTGTATAGTTAAATAAGGTGTTGTTCAATTGTTATGTTATATAGATGTATATGCCTGAAGTATGTGCTTATATAGGTATGTGTATTTATATTGCGATAGTTACTATGTTATTTATTTCATTTGATTTAATCTAAAAATTATCCATTTACTTGATTAAAGAACAATGTTTTACAATTATTGCTTTTTATTTAAACGTTTAAGTAAATAAGTCTCAAATGCATAATATAATACTCTGTAACGAAACTCAACGGATTGTTTAGTCTTTAACATTGAAATAAAATTAGGATGATGGGATATGCAAAGAAGAAACTCTTTGAAAATCCCATTGTTTTCTAAACTATACGTATGTTGAAATAAATTTTTCGTCCACACAGTTTTTGTTTTACTTACATTTACTCTTCTGTTATCGTGTATTGTTTCATTGCAGATGGCAATTGTTTCGTTACAAAGAGTTAGTCAGTATACTTGTTATAGATAAGACAAACCAACGAAACTCAACCAACTTCTGGAAGTTTCCATCTGTTGTGAAAAACAATATGTCATACATCACTGGATAGCTCGCCAAGAAACAAGAACGATTTTTGAACATAGAACATTTCAGAACAAATGGAGATATTTCATGCAAGCATGAAGGAAGAACGAGCAGAGGCTTTAATGGCAATGATGACAGAAATGAAAACAGGATAAAAAGAAATGACTCAGAAAATAGAAGTAGCATAAGATGATATAAAAGCAGGAAAAGAAAAATTAAAAGCATCTAAAGAAGAAATGTAACAAGAATAAAATACGAGCAGGGCAAAATGGCGTGAAAATACACCAAGAAGGATTAAAAGCAGTTCAAGAAGAAATGAAGCAGGAAATGAAAACATATATAAAGATGGTACAAGAAGCAATAAATATAAGAATGGAAGAAAAGATAAATGATATTAGAAATGAAATGGAAAATAAGATAGAATAAGACGAAATCAATACAGAAAAGAAGATTTACGAAATGAAATAAACGCAGGGATCAATTCAGAAAAAGTAATAGCACTAGTAATTCTTCTCTAGGAGAGGCACTGGATATAATCCAGGAAATGCCTAAGTCTCAACAGCATAACTTCCACCATCTTGTCTATCATCTATAAATGAGATACGACGATGAACATCTACAACAGGTAAATTAGGTACAAGTGGAATGCGGAGCAATGAAATAATTTGTGTCCATTGTGGAGCACTTTGAAAAATTAGTCTAACCCTCTGTTCTTAAGAATTCATACACTAATGGCAGTACAAACATTTAAATAGAGTCAGGAGCGATGAGCATAACCTTATACTATGCCACAGTACCCCAAGCTAAGCATTGTCATATGCTTTTGAGTCTGAAGGCCAAACAAGCATCCGTGGGCCATGTATGGTGCAGCAAGCAGGAATTGATGATGGAAGGTATTGTGTCACTCAGCAAAGAATGCATAATAGATGCAAATAAAGCCATTTTGCTTCCGATTAGGAAGAACTGGTCGTCCAAAATACAGCAATTGTGGAAGAATAGATCACCTAAGTCCAGTATGCTCCTCGAGCAAAACACGAGCTTCCGATGAATATAGATCATCCAACTTTGTGGGGCGCAAGTTGGCTTACACCCACGAAGTCCCTGAAGGAGTCATCGTAACAACACTGAATGGAACTAATTCATTATTCATAAAAGGATCCGTAAATCACCACAATATTAAAATGGTTATCAACACATCGGCATCAAACATTATCGTTTCCACCTGACGCAGAATCGGAATGGCGAATTCGTCTTTAACTACAGTTACCAAAAATAATGCACCAATTCAGGGAGAATGTAACATAGAAATTATAATTGGAACTTCGATCTTATATAATTAGGTAGTGGTGACCGACATAGTATATGATGTCATCATTAGATTGGATCTTCTCCGAGAACATGGAATCGACCTAAAAATCAGCACTTCTACAAAGGGTATCAGTGAACAGGAGTTTACTACAAGTGTTGAATATTATATTCCCTCTCCGTTGTAAACTTGATGTTTGGCTGATGCGAGCTGAGAATTTGTAGGAACTCTTCTAGTTTCTGCGCTCCGTGTTGTCACTCGACGAGATTATCGTCCTCGTATCTGAACCAGAATTTTAGTTTGAAAGGTCTATTCTCCAGAATTTCCTGTTCGAACGACTTCATAAAGATGTTAGCGGAAAGTAAAGACAAAAGAGATCCCATAACTGCACCGCCCACTGATTAGTAATATTTACCATAGAAAGGGAAGTGCTTGTACTTTTCGGGGCGTTTTATTTTTTGTAATTAAGTTATTTTGATCTGTCACAAATTTTAATATTATTTTCATTTTGATAAAAAAAACGCACAGAATCGGCAGAAGAGTACTTGGTGTACTGCTTAATCAACCCCTGTATACGGTACGTTACATGAGATATAATCAATGAATCACTAACACAGGTCTGCGATAAAAAAGTTTTTTGTATAAATTTACCTTAAGCATGCAAATGTTGGTCTATAATTTGCAAATATAAACTTTGTTTTAACGTATCACGTTACATTTTTTTTGTATGTAGATTAATATATGTATATATATGTAGCTCTTTGAATCGGCAAATTTATTTGTTTTTTCACAAAATTCATTTTATAGTTTATATTTCTATTTAATACTCTCTGACTGAGCATTATATTGTCTTTTACTTTATTTTAGATAGTCTGAAAGTAACTATAGTCGTTTACACCGCCTGAAAAATAAAATAGTTTATAGCGCGCTATTATTGAGAGAGATATAATATTAACGTGTAATAAAAGATTGTGTTTCATTTATCTTTAACTATG